ACAATATTAGTGTTAAAAGATCTGGTATTTATAGACAATGTGATATGTTGTTATGTATTATAATTTTAAGAGTGATTTGGATAGTTTTTGTGGCACGATTCCAACTTTTTACCTCAGTAGTTTTACTAGCAAATACATTATCCCTAAAACCTAACATGTTTTGTCAAGTGTCATTTTTAGTAAAAGTGCTCGGGATATGGAAGTAAAGTTTGATATGACCACAAAATAAAAAAATAATTTTTTGAATGTTTGCAAGCAACACAAACTAATGATTTTCTTTTAACTATGTCTATTGATGGGTTAGGATAACTTATGTTACAAGTAGAGTATCGTACTATCCGAAAGTATTGCCTCATAATTCTATAATTTTTTGTTGACGAGGTTTGCTTTGTTTGTCGTAAAGCATGACAAGATACTTTTATACACACACGCATGCACTCGCGCACATACGCATGCACGCACACACGCACACATACATGACACAATTATCTATGAAGAAAGAGACATTTGTGAACTTCATGATTGATACACTTGAGAGAATATTGACATTTAGTATCTGGGCACGATTATCTGTAAAGAAAGAGATGTTTGTGAACTTTATGACTCATAAACTCAAGAGAATATTACCTTTTAGTCTAATTAGTATTTTAACATAGATTTCTAATTTGTAGGATTGAAGACCGAAGTTTCTCTCTAAAACCTTAAAATCGCTTCAAATAAGTTGTAAAAAATAAATAAGTGTGTTCTATTAATTAACATGTCATTTTCGTGTGACAATTTTAACTTCATTTTTTTAAGATTTTGAATACTATACTATTGTTAATGCTAAGGATCATAAACAAAAACAAAAATATTTTAATTAAATTAAATTAATTTATGAATATTTTAAACTAATTATAGTATATATATAATGACCGTGGCTATATTAAGGTAGTAAAAAAATGAGTAATTTGAGTATGACCCACACGGCATCAAAAAGCAAAATTAATGATTTAAGAATAAAGCATTAGTATGATGATAGTCATAGGGATTGAGAAAATGAGAAAGTCCAAGCTTCATGTTGATTGATTTGGTACTCCATTTCATAAGAATCCCTTGTCTCCTCTCATGCAGTGCACCACTAATAAAGGGAAAGTTCCAAAATATATATATATATATTCTTTGCAACTCATCGCAAGCAAAGTCAGTTAACAAAAGTTTTAACTTCAAATCAAATATTAAAAAAAGATAAACTATATTATAGTTATACTAACTTTGTTCACATCAACGATGTTCTTCTTTTTCAGTCATACTTTCACACTAACAACTCTGTTTTTCAACATATTTGGTGGAAAAATTTAAATGGAACACACAACAACAGTTCAAACTGCAAAATGCAGGACATTCATAATTTAATTCATACATAGCTCAAAATTGAATTAAGTTTTAAAAAAATAATCAACAGAAAATAAATCTTACTTGCTGTATGATGATGAGCATAGAGTTTTCTTGTATAAAAAAACTTTAAGAGTTGGGAGGAATGAAGCCTGGTCCGGAATCATTCTATTGCACCCTTTAATTGCTTAAGAAGAATGGTCTCGAACCAGACAACAATCCCCTAAACTATTTAGTATATGTGTTTTGTGTTGTTGTGATGCAGAGAAAAGTGGGAGAGAAATTATGAGAGAGATAATGAATAGGAGTAGTTGATTTTGATTTGGCCATGCAATATGTTTTTCATGGGCCCTTTATTCTCCTTATATAGGGAACGTGTGCCCTGAAACATGCCGTGGTATTCCACTAGCTATGCCTTATGTTCCCTCATCTTAGTATAATATAACCTCTTTTTTCATCTACTACTATTACCTATTTTGACCCAACAGAGCCATAGTTTAATTCCACATTAACTTATAATAGCGTCAAGATTATATCTATCCCTAATATGTATGGTAAATTAATGATTTAAACTCCAACAACTGAACACATTAATTCTGTACTAGGAAAAGAATTGATAGTGCAAAAGTGATGCAAAAGTGACACTCTTTTTCTAACATAAATTAAAAGACTTGCAAAGCTTCTTTTAAGTCTACCTTCCTCTCTACTAACCAATCTTACCAAACACGACACAATTACAAACGTGGCATTACTTATTCCCATTTTGTTTTAGTAAGGAACATTTTATTTATATAACATTGGAGTTGTCAAAGGGACTTGATTGTAAAATGAGTTAAAGTTTTAGGACATATTTCTTTTGGCTGTCACTTCTAAAAAAGGAGCAAACAAAGAGGAGAGGAAACTTCTTTGATAAATGATACTTGCAATCAGTGTGGTTCTAAGCTTATACAGAAAGAAACACTAGGTTATAAAATAGAAATTTTCTAAAATTGACTATGGAGAAAAGTTAAAAGATATATTCGTGTGTTTCTCGTTCAAGTTTAGTTTGAAAAAAGAGAATTATATGTGGAGAGCATGTGGTGATTATTCTGGTGGTTAGAATAACTTTAAAGAGGGGTGTAGTTAGAACCATGTGGTGATTATGGGCTGTTTAATTTATTTTTGTAAATGAGTCTTTTAGTTTTTAAGATTTAAAAATTATTTGTTTTATTTGTTAGTCTATTATTAATCTAATAGATTAGTAATCATAATAGTTTTTTTAACAGAAATTGAGTTAGTTATATAATAAAGGTTGTATAAAAATATTAACAAATTTGCAATAATTTTATCAAATCGCTCATCTATTTAGTTTGGTTCATAGCATTGTCAACGTGGAAATGAGCTATTTGAATAGCTTCTTCTACAATTTTTTTTGAAGAAGGGTTAGGGGTTTAGAGGAAGCCATGAATTAAAGGTATGAAAGCATCAATGATAGATTAAATTAGGTTAAAGAAAGATTGATGTTGCAAAAGAGAAAATTAACAAAACAATTTTTCAGCATAAATCATATTTTGTCTAAGACTTCAAATAAATAGCTATGTTAAATACTCATAAATGGGTCATGGGCCGGAAAATAGAAAAATAACGAAATTATTAAAAACACCCTTATTTCATAATGAAATCTTTTAAAAGAACAAATTTTTTTCTTTATCTAATGGGTCTTGCAGGCTTCTTAACAGTTGTATAAAAATATTGACAAATAAAAAAAAATTGTATCACTATTTCTTTTTGGATGACAAAATTAATCATTTTAAAAATTATATATATTGTTCTAAGAGACACAACATTGTTATGCATGTGTTAGCCACCAACATGTAAATTTGACAAGGAAACCATCTGAAATTTCTGCGCAAATACAAGACAATGTTACATGCCTTTTCGACTAGAGAGCTTGGAGAAAAATAGCAACATTCGACAATTGAAGGATTTGGTCTGGTACTTAGTCAAATTTTCAAAGAATTTGATCACTCATCAATTGGACAAGTCAAAAGAGGTTTGACTAAAACAAATTCAAAATTCAAACCAGATAACCATCTTTTGGTCTTATCCAAAAAGTGATGGACACGTGGAGATCAATCAAAGATAGGTAGAGCATGCATAAGTGATGTGTCAAATAGAAGACTGTTGAACGTCGGAAACCGTTAGTTTCATAGTATTATAAATATGAATTCTAGTGTTAGAATTCAGAGTGTGACAAAATCATTGTAAACTTCAATACAAACTCAAAGTGTCCATACGCAAGCAAGAAACGAGTCTCTGAAGAAATGTATTTGCCTACCATTTTCTTTCTTATGCAAATAAAGTTCTTTTTCATTTAATTTACTTTTACTTTTTTGTTCTTATTCAAGTCACCAATTTCACCTTAGTAGAAATCAGTTGTTATAATTACTTTCAAACATAATCATCTTTCTAAAATAGCCAACACTCGATGCAAGTGTCCTGACAACATTAGTGCACAATTTCTTTTCCCCGAAAATTTAGCACAAATTTGCCCTAAGATTTACTAGTTTGCTCCTTCAAACAATAAATTTAAAACTAAGTGATTGTTTACTTAAAGTGAACAACATGAGCATTTGCATTCTCTGTAAAACATCTAATGTTTCTAATGCTAAAAAACCAAAAATGTCGAAGACAAATTATATGAAACCATATTGATTGTCGAAACGTGTTTTCTCATACTTAGTCACTTTACGTAAAACATCTTTGAGATTTGTATCTCCCACAGTAAAACTTATAGTCCTCAGTCCCACCAGTGGGGAAATCACAATCAAGTCTACAAATGTATGTCTCCCTCATATCCAACCGTACACCAAAACATTAGCTTTCCTAAGTGTTAATCTCCCCTATTGTGCGTCTCTTTCTTCACAGATATCCCAACATGCCGAAATATATCAAATAAGACATCCCTAACAAAATCACGTCGATATTTGAATCATGAAAGCTCCTTACAATAAATAGTGTGTTTCCTAAATGTATCCAAATATGCTTTGCAGCAAACAGGTGAAACCTTATCAACAGAAAATAAGAGAATCATAAGTCTATATTTAGCAATGGTAGGATACTCTATCGGGAGACATATATTCGCCTAGACCATCAATATGGATAGTCTTAATGATCCTAGGGCCGACCATGCTAAAAGTACATGGTACAATTAAATTAAATAACTTACATAAGTACCGACTAAAAACATGTTTAATTATGAAATTATTTTTAAAACGAAAAACTGAAAATAAAACCGAAAAATGAAGAATAGAGACTGCGAATGTGAACTAATTCCATAAATAATTATAAAATAAACTTTTCAAAAGATAAAATAAAAATAAAAAATACTCCACAGTAAGTACTTGTACTAGTATAATGAAATGGTTGAGAAGTGACACGAAAATCGAGACTCCATTCAGTTTTGCCTAACAGAAAACGGTTACACAAAAAGGACACGCGTCATTTTTTTATCGGTGAGCAGTCACTACTATATGAATCCCCGTAGCATCCATTTCATACCATAGAAGCTTTTGAATTTTGAGAGTAATAGCAAACTGCGAAATTTCCCGCTCAAAGAAACAGAGAGAACGAAGAAGAAGAAGAAGATGGAAGCGATTGTGCTACTAACAACTGGTGAGATGAAGAACGTCAAGGTCAATGACGCTGTGGAGAAAGAGAAGAAGATCTTCCGCATTCAAGTTTCCAAAACTAAGAAACCACTCTTCTTCTACCTTAATCTCGCTAAGGTATGACTAATTCCGGCGCTTGTTATCATTATTCTCTAATCAGCTTTTCAATTTTTATTCAATCGTTTTTCTTGATTTCGTTTTTTTCATTGATAATTTTTCTCTAATCTGGTTTCTGATTCTGTATTCAATCGTTTTTCTTGATTTGTTTTCTTCATTGATAGTTATTGATCTTGTATATTTTTCTCTGATGCAGAAACAATTGAAAACGGACAATGATGTTGAGCTCTGTGCACTTGGCACGGGTATAATTTTCTTTAATCTTTAACTTTCTTTTAGTTTACAGATAGATAGATTCTGATTAGGTTCAATAGGAAACTTAACTTCGAATAGTGAAGGTGTTCTTGATCTGAGAAGTACACACTTGATTAACTTATAAAATCAATTCCGATCTGAGAAGTATACACTTGATTAATTATAAAATCAATTCTGATTAGGTTCAATTTAAAACTGTAGGTATTGCGCATTTTTCATCTGTTATGTGTGATCTGAGTTTTTTTAATTTAGAACAACTATATTTCAGTGTGTGATGTTAGTAAATAATCACATTTCTTTTGTTTTTGAATTAAATCTCAGCTATTCCAACTATAATAATCATGTCTGAGATTTTGAAACGCAATGGATGGGCAATTGAGAAAAGTAAGATCACTTCTCTAATCATCTCTGAGATTTTAATAGATCCACTCATATTTTTAAGTTTCTTGAATTACTGGAACTGGTTTTCGTGTTACAGGTATAGTGGCATGCACTATTGAGGCTAAGGAAGACAAAGAAGGTCGGGTAGGGGCTCCAAAGGCTAAGGTTCTTCTTCTTCTTCTTCTTGCATTTTTGTTTGATCTGGTTTATCAACTTAATCATGGAATAACATGTGTTTATTTGATACTGCTTTGTGCAGCTTGATATTCTGTTGGGAAAGGCTAAGACTGTTGACCAAAGCACTGATGGTTCAGCATAGTAGTAGAACTACTAAAAGGAGATAATGAAACTCTACTGCTTGTAGAGTAAAATAAATGAATTTGCGGTTTAGATATATGTTTGATGTTTTTTTTGCTTCCAGCTTTTGGTTCAAGACTATTGCAACTTTTAGTCTTGTAAACAATGTATTCCTGTATAAACGTACATTCTCATGGTTCATCATTTTACTGTAAAAAGCTTTTGGAGTTAATAAATGTCCTGCAATTTGATTAATTTGAGCACCATAGTCTAGTAGTCATTTGATTCATGAATGTTAAGCACGTGGTTGTGGATGTAAAGAAGAATGTTAATTTTTGTGTTTCAAAGCGGCTAGTAAAAGAAAGACATTTGATACAGGAAGGATAGGTCACATACTTGTGAAGAGACAAAATAATTCAGACATCAAATTAAACTAGTAATATAGATGAGCAAGTTTAATTTTATTTTATTTGCTTCATATTTCTTGGGAGAGAGGTTCTTATTTGAATTAAGAATGTAGTTCTCTACTTTATAGATTGTTAATTATTGTTTTGTAATGTTTTGGAATTCGATTTTGATTTTTTCTAATTCTAATTTTGGATTTGAAAACACACAAAAAATCAATAGATTTATTAATGGCACGTGTGTAATAGTGTGTAATTCTATTGTGTTTTACAAGACATGGAAATGCAGAATGATGAATCTACGTGCATTGCAAAAGTTGTTTACCAACAGTTCATTTTTTCTTCTATCGCTTTTATATTGTTGGTTGGTCCTGTAAGAGCTATAGAAAAAAAAAATCATTTGCATTTTCTTTTTAATTATTATAAGAAGAAACAACAAACTTTAAAGATGAATATAATAAACTTTTGAAATTTCTTAGATATCTTTTTCATGTTTAAAAGAAGTGTATTTATTCTCTAACATGAGTGGATCTATTAAAATTTAATACCAGGCTGGTAGTTAGAAAAAAATTTAAAATAAAATTGAAGCTTTGAAAAATATATTAAATTTGTAATTTGTTGTCGGTTGGACAAGGGCTGATTAAGACGGGTTCAATTAATAGATTCAATCAAGGTAGAAGTCAATTTATTGACATACAGGTGAATTCTCATTTCTAGACACAAAGTAGGAGTATAACCTTCTTGTTCTTCTTGAATGTTGTTCTACATCCAATGACCATCTGCACTTCACGTCATACCAATCGATAATTATTCTAACGATCTCTTATATATAAATGTGACCCTGAGTCACACCCAAGTATTCTTTTTATACATATTTACAAAGTTCAACCTCATTCAAATGCCTAATTGAGTGTTGAAGTGCTAACATTTTGCAGGTACCTAGAGAACTAGAGAACACACAAGCTTCATCTCGATGATCATCTTCAACCTTTCATTTATTTTCTTTTCCAGTATGGATTAACGACATTTCTCTGAATCGTCTTTTGATTCTCGTGAACTCTCCATCAAGTTTCTCAATATTACATTGTTGCACCGCCGCAACTGTTTTCTGTTATAGTTCCCACAATTGTAATCTTCTTTATAACTACTCTTTATATTACCTTTTATAATGGTCAATTCAAGTCCAAATCGCACTAACATCATGATTAAAGATCTTCGATCAACGATTCACATCCTTCAAGACAACACTTCACTAGTTCTTTCTCATGTAAACGAAGAACCTTTACATCAGGATATATTTCTTTGAAGAAAACCAGAAGAAAATTCTAACTCATATAGCAACTTAACAGAAGATGTTACAACACGATCACTTTGAAGTCATCCCAATGGATACTCTCATTGACGTCAGGTCAGAATCGTCAAGAGCTCAAGAGTTTCTAAGGAGGTATCACCCTGATCAATGTGATAACAACTCTCATCCACATGACTATAGGGAGCAGAAAATAACCATACACCACAAGAAGATCATCACCAAAGGATATCTTCCTCCCACCATTATTGAAAGGGACACAAGCACGATTCTACCGAATATGTCTCTATCACCGTCAATATGATACATTCACCAAACATATCATTGAGTATCGTATAAGTAAGTTTTTAGGGAAGCACTCGAAGTTAGAGACCTATGATGGAACAAGAGATCCTTATGAATATGTGTAGCACATGGATATTGACTTGACTATCACCAAGCTAGAGGTGCAATGAAGTGAAAACCTTTTGTTGTAACACTAAAAGGAGTCGTCGTGACCGGGTTCAAGGCCCTGAAAAACACCTTCATTAGCTCTTGTAGTAAATTATGTGATGACTTTACTTCTCACTTCGCAAACCATAATCTTCTGTCGAAGACAATGATCATACTCAATGTCATTCAACGTAGGAAGAAAGAGACGCATCAGAAATACATTGACATTCATCTTACCGGGATCAGAAGAATATTTAGTGGCCAACAACACGATGCGATCTTCAACGTCAGGTGAGGAAGGCGAGGCGGGGGGTGTACCTGCAAGGCACTCCGATGTTAAAGTAAGTATGGAGCAAGAAAGAGCAAGTACAGAAGTGAGAAGTAGAATGGAATAGAATACCCGAACCTCTATTAGAAGATGGTATTTATAAAGCCCCCAGCGCTAGGCTAATGGTCTCCATTATGGACTGGGTGATCCGGCCCATAATGGATGACTGACAGGATTCCTACGTGGCAATAGGGATCAGTTGGCCACGTGCCCTCAGGTGAGAACCGTGTGAGGAGCGTGTGGGAAACGTACCATCCCACGATTATGATGGATTGGGCCTGTGTTAGGTCCTCTTCAACGTGAGCTGGACTTGTCTGTGCCCGACGGTGGGCCAGCCCCAGGCTCAGTACAAAACATACATATTCACCAAAGAAGTTATGGAATTAGAGGACTTAATGACAAACTAAAAATGTTTGATTTTTAAGAATGGGTTAAGGTCGGATTGAATGTTCAACGAGAAGTTGTGATTTGAGAAGCTAGAGACCATGATTGATATTCTTCCTTGATCCCAACCTTATATGAATTATGCATAAAAGCTCTTAGACGTTAAGAGAAATAAGGTATATGGAAATGGAAAATAAGGAAACAACAAGTGTCGTAAAGAGGAAGAGAGCATAATTGTTGTCTGTCGATTGGAATCGAGATATGTCTTAAAAAAAGCCTGAATGGCCCGTTATAAGATTTAGATACAATGAAAAATTATGAGATATCCCTACAAGATATTTCCATCGGTAATAACGAACATCGTGGTTAACTTTGAAATTTTAAGAATTCTCATTAATGAAGGGAATTCCTATGACATAATGTATGATGAGTTATTCGTTAAATTGGCCTTAAAAAGATAAGCATTATCGCCTTACATGGGAACAAACTTGCAAAATTTCAATGAAGCAGTAAGTTATGCTTGGCGTTTTGTTGAGATATTAGTTAACTTTGGAGAAGGGAAATTTTTAGAATGATGGATATCTTATTCCTAGTGGTTCTGTGAAAAACAATATCTTTGGACATAGTTTCGCCCATCATTTATTTAAAGATGAAATACCGCAAAGCTTGTGACAAAATAGTGACTGTTTATGAAGATCTAGTAGGAGACATGATGTCACAAGGCCCTGCAGATATACATGGACATAGTTGTTGTCCAGGCAGAGGAGAAGTTGATGACACTCTGTCATTACATGTTTAATGTTAAAGAAATGGAGCAAAACAAGTCAAAGATGAGCAAAATGGAAGAAGAAAGACCAAAGAAATATGCAAAAATGACCAAGTATGAAGAAATAAGGACTTAGGGAAATTTTGATGGAAAAAAGGAGTAAAAATATTCAGCTACTGGAATAATCACGTGCGATATCGCGTGCATCATAGGGTTGAATTATCAACATCGCGCGCACGATAGGGCCTTTTCTGGGCCTATTCGGACGCATTTTGGATAGATTGACAGTTTTAAAAGGGAGTTTTTGGCATATTTTCAAAAGTTCTGTGAATTTTGACTGAAAGCGACAGTAAGAGCACCAAGAGGGGGATTTTGAGAGCATTAGAACCCATAAGAACAACTTTTATTTTTCGCATTCAAACTCGAACCCCCTCCCCATTGTTACTTTCTAGAACTTACACAACTATTATTTTGTTAAATAGCAGCCTCTGTGGATTCGATATCTTTTTACTACTGCGACACTATTGGTACATTTTTTGAAAAGTCATCAGAAGGGAATATAAACCATTTCTTCTAGACATATCCTTCTAGAAGTCAATGTAAAATACTTTGATGCAAGTATAGAAAAAAAAACGTGTCTAAGATTAAACACGACCTAGAGAAACCTTTAACCATAAAGTCTAGATTGAAGATTATGAGGTGAGACCCTGATGGGGACTTTGTAGACCCTGATGGGGACTTTGTATATGTTCAACTCGACAATAATTCAACATGTATTGTGAATAATAGGGCAAATTCCACAAGTTACCTGAAACATGAACTCACTAGATGTCTCAAAGCCAATGCAGACTTGTTCTCTATTCCCCTAAGGAAATGCCAAGCATAGACCTTAGAATGGTGAGCCACCAGGTGACTATTGTCCTATATTCCTAGTATGTTATCTTCTTTGAGAAATATTAAGCCACCAAAAATATTGTTGATGGAATGCTCCCGGAAAATATCATTTTTGTGTTGAAGTATAGTGGGTGAATGTCCAATATAGTATTAGTCAAGAAGGAAATTAGAAAGTAGCGCATGTGTGTGGACTACACCAACCTCCATAATCTTGTCCTAAAAATTCATTCGCTCTCCTCAATATTAAAAAATTAGTGGGCAACTTAGTAGGGTGTAACATCTTATCATTCATGTATGCATATTCTAGGTACAATCAAGTTCCAATACACGAGAAGAACTAAGATAAAACAACTTTCATGATGAAACATTCCACTAAAATATATAACGTAATTCCCTTTGGTTTAAAAAGTGAAGCTGCAAGATTCCAGATGATGATTAATAAAATATTTGAGGAAGAGGTTGACGATATGATGAAGGTGTTCATGGATGACATGATCATCAAGTCTGGAGATGAGCATCTACATAAAAACCATCTTATCGACGTGTCCAGTCGTGTTCTCCTACCAAAATGAGGTAAAATCCAGAGAAGTGCATCTTTGGGGTTAAGGCTGAAAAACATTTGGGATTTTACCTCACAAATAGGGGAATTAAAGTTATCCAAAAAAATTGTGATAAAATCATCAAGATGAAGAATTTGTTCACAAAGGAGAGAATAATAAAGATGAACGAGATGTTTACCGCACTAAAAAAGTTCATTTCTAAATCTTCCTAACATGCATTTCTATTCTACAAACTCTAGAAGAAATTGGTAAGTCTGAATGGACACCGAAGTGTGAATAAGAATTTACACATGTGAAGCTCTCCCTCTCGAAACCCTAGCTCGTGTCAATGTTTGTGGCCAGGGAGACTTCGTTCATATATCTAGCAATATCAATAGAAGAAGTAAGAGTCATTCTCGTGAAAAGTTAGGAACAAACTAGAATCCAATTTATTTAGGGGAAAATTCTCCCCAGACCATACTTAGCAAGGCAGATGGAAAAGTGATTTATCAAGATTTTGGAGTTTGATGTCTCTTTCAAACTCAAAATGGCCTCAAAGTCTAAGTCTTCACAAATTTCATTTCATAATTAACTCTAACCATTTTCTAATCATGAACAAAGTGAATCGTCCTCATGGATGGGTCATAAAATAGAAGAAGAAGTGGAGTCAACCTCATTCTAAAGAGAAACAAATGGATCTTAGTAAAAGTATCTCTACATTTTGACTTCTCCACCACTAACATCCAAGCTAAATATGTATTCTTAATTGTAGAAGTATACACACGGACTCACGGTTGGTGATCTCTCAAGTCAAGGGGGATGCACAAGTCAAATATCTCTTATTGTATAAGTATATGGTCATAGTTAAAGTTAAATTGAGCTTATTCAAGGCATATGAGATTGCACATATGCCAAGAGAACATAACATGATGGTAGATATCCTATCAAAGCTGGCAAGCCCTATAAGTGTAAACATCAACCGATATTTCATCCAAGAAACACCTTAGAGATGAAACAACAGAACATTCATGGATCACCTTGATCATGATATACATTGAGAATGGAGAAAATTGTACATAAGAGGTCTTGAAACCCCTCTTCTAAAATGCATAGAGCTTGATGTAGTTGTATACACCTTCGTTGAAGTCAATAAGGGTATATTCGAGAAACACCTAAGAGGAAAATCACTAGCTAATAAATTCCTCATATCATAATCTTTTGGCCTTAAGTGGTTTAAGATGCGAGGAATATGTAATGAATTGTGAAAGGTGTCAGAAGTACGAAGAAGTTTACATTGCCCCCTTCATCTCGTGGATCTATGTTATGTGAAGTTATAATTGTCAGTTGGTTTTCATGTTGAAAGCTAATACCAATTGTCAAGAAACTTTTAAAGATGCCAACTATATAAGTCAAATGACTTTTGGTGTTGATAACTCCTTTCAATAGTTCTTTGTGACAACTGTTAAAAGGGGAGTTGATATCAATTGTCTTGTAATTTCATATGATCAAGAAGAAGATATATCATACCTCATCAGTCAGACGATTCAAAGTTCCAGTTGAAGTGTTAATCAATGTAAAATCAAGAAGAGGAGCTCGAAGTCTAAAAGTGAGAAACCTTGAATAGTAAGTCTTGAATTACTAAGGCGCGTGCACGCGTACACACACACGCATACGCGCACACGTACACACACACACATTTCAATCCCTCTATGATTTTATTAAACTTCTTAAAATTAATCCAAACATGTATGGAATTGATTAAGAAATATTACAAATTAATTAGGAAAGCTAACCCACTACCTAATCAATTAAGGACTTGGTCCAATTGATTAAAGCAATGAGAAATTCCTTTAATCGGTTAGAAAATCCATTAATTGATTAAAATATATGGTCATTTTAAGGTTTCTTTTTATAGATTGGGGGTTTCCGTTTTTAAAGGTTTTTAATCAATTAAAATATTTGTTTATCAATTAACCCATTTGTTTAATTTATAGATTGTTTCCTTTTTTTAATATAAAAGAAGTTTCTATCCATTCCATTTTATACAAAATTTGTGTATAGAAAACTCTCTTCTATTTTTTATACTCATTCTTTTTAAAATTCTTTTTTCACTAAAATTGTGGTAGTACTAAAATTATAAATTATAAAAGTTGTGTTTTTTGAAATTCTTTTTTCACTAGTGCTAAAAGAATTATAAAATTGTCGTAGTGCTAAAAATATAGGTTATAAAACTTATGTTTTAACTGGCGATGTGCTAAATTTGTTTTATTTAGGAGGGTGATTCTATTGCATAGTTAAGCTTGTTGAGCAAAGCCTGTGCAAAAGTTTTGTTTGTTGTTGAAAATTTGACATAAACATGGTTGAGTAAGACATAAAGGGCTAAGAGGGGTAGCAAAATAAATAAATTTTAGAAAATAAAAAACAAGAGTTTAAGTAGGGGGAGGTGTGGTGGCGCACGGCAAAGCAAGAGTATGAATCCGATGAGAATGAGAATGGATCCACTGACAGTTCTTCGAGATTTCACGATGAGAGGTGAATTGGAGAAAATAGTCCGTCACGACACCGACTTCCGTTTCGGCGACGAATACGCCTTCCCTTCCTCTCTCGAAACCGCCTACCGCTCCACCAAAGGTAACCGTTACACACTCGAAACCCTAGTTCACTACATCAAACACCACCAACTCAAACACGCCGAGTATTTCCAAAACACCCTAGCTCTCGGTATCCCCTCCGTAACCCTCCCTGATCGGAAACCGATCCTTAACTACCTTCAAGGCATTATCTCCACCACCGATTCCATCGAATATCTCCCCGAAGAGCCTGAAGATCCTTCTCTAAATCAGCATCAACCATCTCTACTTCCCAATTCAGATGACGGCGTTTTTCGAGCTGAAGAGCCTCAATTGGATTTCATCTCCATGATCAGAACCGCCGAGAAGCCTCTCAAGGACCGCGAGTCTCTTCTCGAATGTAAGAATCGCGACTTCTACAGCGTACTAGTTGCTGCCACGAAGCGCGAAGAAGAGCGCCAGAGAATGGAGTCTCACCAGAGGAAAGACGGTCTCGTTGCCAAGAGTAGATTAATGGGTAGTTCTGATGATTTTGGTGATGAATTGGGGTATGATCAAACTCCTAAACCTAAAATGCATCTCAAAATTGGGGAAGGTGTTCCAATTATTTTGGTTCCTAGTGCTTTTCAGACACTCATTACTATCTATAATGTCAAGGAGTTTTTGGAAGATGGGGTTTATATACCTACTGATGTTAAGGTGAAGCAGATGAAAGGTGCAAGACCTGATTGTGTTACTGTTCAGAAGAAGCTTAGTAGGGATAGAGCCGTTACTGCTTATGAAGTAAGGGATAAACCTTCTGCACTTAAACCCGAGGATTGGGATCGTGTTGTCGCGGTTTTTGTCTTGGGAAAGGATTGGCAGTTCAAGGACTGGCCTTATAAGGATCATGTCGAAATTTTCAATAAAAGTAGGTTATTTTTTCCATTTCATTTCAATTGTTGCTCAAAATTCAAACTGCAATTTTATTAGCTCGTTGTAATGTACTAACCTCTTTCAAATTTTTCAGTTACTGGATTTTTTATGCGGTTTGAAGATGATAGTATAGAGTCAGCAAAGACTGTTAAGCAGTGGAATGTGAAGATTATTTCGGTGGGTTACTTGTTCGAACTACTGTTATGCTATGATGTCTTCATATTTTTTTCTCTCAAGCTTTTAACTTGCATTGCACTCTAACTATGCTTTTCTAACTTGATGACAGATTAGTAAGAACAAGCGGCATCAAGACAGGGCTGCGGCATTGGAGGTGTGGGACAGACTAGAAGAATTTGTGCGCTCGCGATCACATTCTTGATTTTTTCCTATATTTAGAGATCAATGTATGTAATTTTGATTTTGAGCTCCTTGTATCCAATTATTAGAATTTTTGTTGTCTTGTGATGTTTAAGGGATGATATGAGATAAATATTTTCAACTTCTAATATCATAGTAGTAGTATTTTGTAAAATTAGGGTTGTCCTCTTACTGATATGCTTTTTTTGTGTGCAAAAGATTAATATGCTATTGCAGAATCTAATGGATGGAATATTTTTAATTGTAACAAACTATTAGTTATGCTACGGGTCTCCAAATTTATACTACCAAGGTTCTTGTTCATATCAGATTGGTTTTCGTGCAACATTTGGAACCTTTAGCTTTACTGGCCCATTTTCTTCATCAGTAATTGTAGGATGTAGACACTTTTGAATGAGTTTTAATATGTTTTCTTCAAAGCATTTGTTTTGTTATTTGTGTTTCATGTCAGTCATTTTTTCTTTTACTGTCTTAATCAGACGCTGTTTGAGAGATATCCATTTCTGGCTGTACATTTTGTATTTCCTCATTTATGCAGTTGCGGTGTTCTACTTTTTTTCTCTCCCTTTTTGACTGCAGTAGAAGCACAAATTTATGCATTGTTTTAGCTTGTTGTTGCCACTGCATTGGGTTCTAAGACCTAAGCATGTGTTTTATGGATGGTCAAATGCTCTTACCTTGATAAGCAATTACTTGAATGTAAGACCTTTTCCTTTGCCTTGAGTTCATCATGGGCAACTCTTAGGAGGCTTAATCATTAATCTGTAAATGAGATTACGTTTAGATTTAGTTACTTTGTGCTCTGCTTCTGCTAATGCAATATGATATTCATTTGGGTAAACAAACCATTAAGTGAAGCAACTTCAAGATATTCTAGCATGCTTCCTGTGAGTCCCAACTTTCTAATAGGAATGGAAACTATACATATAATTCCTTCTGATTAGTGGTTTTTGAGACAGTCTTCTGTTTCTTAATCTTTGTTTTTTTAAATCAATTATAAATACCCTTGATAGAAGGATTTGGCAGTTGTTATTCATGACGTGTTAAATAAATTCAGTTACATTAATCAGTTTCAAGTGCTAGTTTAGTCATTACTGCCTTTCATATTGCTGCAAAGTACGACACGACTAGAATGATTTTATTTTTGTTTTTTGCTTTCGGGCGTTTGAATTCAGTGATGTCCTTGTTAATGAAGACCATGATGGCACGCAACAAATTTCAATCCATGTTTTATTGATAAATGGGAGAATAAAGCCTTCTCATAATACAATATTATGTAACCTCTAGAGGTACAAAATGAATAGACTGAACCCTTCAGCACAAGGGCCCTTGATAATATAAATGATTACACAACAACAATCGGTAATAAGAAGCAAAAAATAGCATTTCAAATGGGAAGCCAACTGATTGAAGAATCAATATGTTCAGAAAACTGAAGCATATGTTGCTGCTGCCAAAATAAGTAACAGAGGAATTGACAGCTTGATTGAATTTCCACTGGATGATCCATCACCGGGTGAGGGAGTGGATTTGGATCCGGTTCCTGCAGATAAAAATCAACTTAAATGGTTAACACGGATAAGTGTCAATTTGGATAATGAAGCTGCAAAGCATAACTCAATACTTCCTCGGTGTGTTAGTACCTGATGGAACTGAATTTGGAGACTCTGCTTCTGTTCCTGCTGGTGAGATTGCCGGGGAAACAGCTGTTGACAAAAACATGTATTGTAAGTTAGCAGAAAGATATATAGGTTCCCATATAGTAGTAGTTTCTAGTTGTTGTTTCTATTATTATGGTGGATATTTGCATACACAGGGTTGGATACACATTTCAAAGAAATCTTGTTCTCTTACCAGTAGTAGTTTTACACTGACTGGTGGGTGGGGTTTTGACCTTGCAAGCACCAGGCAAGGCCAGAGCCTGAGTTTGATTGATGTTGATTCCCAGTGATGATCCACCCCCGCCGAGAACCTGACACAGGCATAGTGGTGATGAACTCACAACATTGGCAAGGTTTGAGCAGCATCCTGAAGACGGGGTTGAGGAATTCCCTGTGATATAGTTAAGACAAGGTGACAGGCTGACTAACACATTTGTACAACTCGATTGCGCTGCAGCTCCTGCACACAGCATTGCCATTACGACCAAAGTCAATCCCATGTTCATTTTGCTGTGTGCCATTGGAATTGTTTTATGAAAATGTGTTGGAAACCTTTGTATATTCTTTTATTTTTTGTTGAAGACCTTTGTATACTCTGTGAAGACAATGATGGTTTTGGAAGAACAGGGTTTAAGATTTTATAGAGCAAGGAGGGAAGAAGCTGACAATAGTAAGTTGATGTGGGTGAACAACTCCTCCTACTATCTAACAGGATCTATTTGGTGTTGCGTGGGCAATACTTTTATGATAAGGTATTCAAACCTGTATTATGGGGCCCTTAATACTAATGTATAAGCTTGAGTGGAAAATTCCAAAGTGAAGTCGGTTAAACTGGTTACCAACTTTTGGCATCTGAGACTAAGTGACCTCTATTATCTGTTTATGATGATAGCTTTATTATGTTCAACATAGAAGACTTTGAAAACATGACTTGAGAGGCATTGTTCTATAGTGGGAGGCATAGACACATTCGGTTGAATTGTGTAAATAAAAATTATTGTTTATTGTTTTACGATTTATCTTCTCTTTTCTAATAGAAAAACATGTTAATTGGTACTTCTATCGAATGATTTAGACGAACCATTTCCTTCTAAGTTTGACTAAATTCCCTTTAAGCGATAAGCAAAAACTTTTTCTGTATTTAGTTCAACTAACATATATAAGGAAATTTTCATCAACGTTTTCAAACATTAAGTTCTAGTCTAGTCAATTGAAATGAAAAATATCTTTAAGTTAACTAATTTAAAATAAATAGCTAAATATGTCTGCTCTCCGATTCGTCGCATCTTTATTTTATGATAAGTACTTATGTTAGACTTGATATATTGGGTGGTTGTGTCACATGACTGAGCATTGATTTTGGATTAAATTGAATTGGTTTAAGTGTAAATATATTGAATTGGTTTAAGTGTAAATATATTGAATTGGTTTAAGTTTAACGTAGAGCTCTATATTTTTTTTAACCCACTGTAAAATTTACTAGTTAAATTTAGAGATAAGATCAATTTGATGAAAAGCTCTAAATATCAATACTTTTATTAAAATAAAATAAACCCTCTAATTGGAGTATAGGGAAAATCTAATAGAAGCTGTATAACTTAGTAAGGTTTAATGAATTGAGAATTGCTACTAGGATTTGGTTATCCACCACAGCAACTGGCCTAATAAAGAATGATTTGACTTGACAGTTACCAACTGGTTAGTGATCAAATAAGCCAATAATTTTTGACAACATAACAAGGACCATAATTTGCTTAGTTAAAATAGTCTATAGAAACCTGAAGTTTATCAAAAATGCTAATGTTACATTCTTCAACATCTTCATATCTGGTAGGTTAGTTAAAGTAGTTGAGCTTTTAAACCAACTTTGGAGCCACCTATTATGTTCCCTCCACAAGTTTTCTATCTATAAAATTCCATTCCCTTGTTGTATTCCTCATTCCAACCTTCAAACTCACAAACTCATCTTTCTTCTTTACTCTTGAACACATCAAAATCTCTTGACTATTCAAATTCCTAACATAATTATACATGGAGCATTTTCGGTCTCTATACCACCTAACTTTGATACTAGCCGTGGCTACTGTCTTGGCTGCACCGGCCTACGCCCAGATCACTACACCGTGTAACATATCAATGGTAACCAGCTCTATGAGTCCTTGCATGAGCTTCCTCACAAATAGCAGTGGCAACGGAACCTCGCCCACTGCTGATTGCTGCAATTCCATCAGGTCCCTCACAAGTGGAAGCAAGGATTGTCTTTGTCTGGTTGTCACTGGCAATGTTCCTTTTCAATTACCAATCAACAGAACCTTAGCTATCTCTCTTCCCCGTGCTTGTAACTTGCCCGGAGTTCCACTTCAATGCAAAAGTACTGTTTCCTCAATCTTCATTCTTTCTCTTTTATGGAACAAAAACTAAAGTTTCTAAATTTAAGTTATTAACACAACGTGTGTTATTTTCTGCAGCCTCAGGTTCACCACTTCCTGCTCCAGGTAAACCGCGACACGATACTCAGAAGAACCTAAAATTTACAAACCTGTTTCAGTTTTACTAAATCTTATGAGTGATTTTGACAGGACCAGCGTCTTTTGGGCCATCTCTTTCCCCGGCATCTACTCCAGCTGCTCCATCTCTTAGTCCTCAAGGTACATATTTCTTACGGTCAAGTTTCTAAATCGTGGTTACGGTTGTTCTGTCGCGATTTTTGATAATGTGAGAATAAATGGAGGTAAACACTTGGCTGCGAATAACTTTTACATTGTGGCTGCAATTGATGTTGCAAACAGCAGTTTGAACTGCAATTCAAATCATGTTTGTATTTTAACAAAACTTTCAATCTTGCATACATAAAGATAGTTTGAGTACTGATGTCTAATGTCACCTTTTGTTTGAACAGGTTCTTCTGTACTCCCCTCACCAGTTACACCTTCTCTGCCACCACAGCCTGAATCAACCACTCCATCATCTTCGCCAGCGAATCCCGATATCCCATCCGCAACACCCGGAAGCGGCCGCTCCAATCTCACTCCATCCTCTGCTGGATCATTATCTCACACTCTCCTATCATCTGCTGTGGTCATTGTATTTGGATATGCCGTTTCTAAACACTACTAGGTTGCTGTTTTTGACATCCTACCTAGATTTTCATGTAAGAAATCAATAGTTTGTTGCAATATGTGTGAACCCACATTGAGGGTGGATTTGTATTTTTATGTAATATGTGTGCACTGAATATTAATTAATATTTTTTACTTTTTCAGTCAAAATGTTTGTTAGCTAATTTCTAATCTCACTGGTCAGTGTTTGAAAAATAATAGTTAATGCACACGTAAAAAGAACAATTAATTAGACGCCCAATTTATCATCTACTAGAGTTAGTTAAGAACCCGTCATCATAATCTTCATAGAGATAAAAGGGTAATCCTGAGAATTCACTTGAATCGGTTAGTTTTTCTCCCGCCAAAACTTAAAACCGTTTGATCGTTCTGTTTTGTAACTGCTTCCGGCATGGGAAACTTCTTCTTCCTCCTCCTCGTGCTGAATCTGAGTATCTTTGCCATTACAGAAGCAGCGACGCCGCCACCTTCATCCAGAGGAGGATGCACCGATCAGCTAATTCTATTCTCTCCGTGTCTGTCTTACGTTTCGTCTCCTCCAAACAACCTATCGGAGACAGCTTCAACCAAATGCTGCGGCGCTTTCTCATCGTCGTTCGCACCTAACTCCCTCTGTTTCTGCTATCTCCTCCGTGATAATCACATCCTCGGCTTCCCTATGAACTCCACAAGGCTTCTTTCACTCTCCTCCCTCTGTCTTTCGCCTCCACCAACCATCTCTTCTCTCAACTTTCTTTGCGGAGGTTCGTTCTTCATTCTTTTTTTTTTCTTTTCAATAGTCTTACGAATTTAGATGCATAATACATAATTAACATAATTAACTATAGAAAATTGATCAATCAAAATTTAATTGTTGTTTGATTCACATTATTACAGAATCACCGACTCTGCCTCCTCTCAGTAGCGCTGATATTTTACGGAATCCCAACAATTCTTCGGTAACAGGTGTTTTGTTTATTTTCTACTCTCAATTTTTGTTTTGTTCAAAATGATCATAATCACCATTAATATTAATTAGTTATGAAGGAGCTTATGTAAACAAAAAGATTACTAATAGATTTGTTTATTGAACAAATAAGAGAATATATTTTTGTAATTAAAGCTAACTATTTGTAAATTTATATGAGTAGTTTAATGGTATTGTCGGAGTAAATATAAATGATTTAAAATGTAGTGGCTAACTTGAAGGGAACTTGAAGAAGGGATACATGACTCTCATTAGCTTACATTATAAAAATAATTGCATCATCCCTTGACTCAACATTTTATTATAAAAAAAATTACACTAGTTTTATTTTAGTTATTTAAAAATATTGAGTGATAACATGTCTTAATTATCATTTTTTGATGCATAGTTTTTAAGTTATTATAAATATTATTTGGATAAACTCCTCGTATAAAGTTTAAAACAGAATTTTGATAATTTATTTATTTCATACTTTTATCATTTTGGCAACCCTTAATTTTTATAATTTATTTTTAAACAGTTTACAAGCATGAAACACAAATATTTACATATTTCTTATATATTTAATTCTTTTACATCGTTATCAATTTATTCACTGTCATTTTAAATAATATTAGACATTTTTTTATCGGATGATAATTTATCTAACTATTGGTTCAAAAAGCAACAATAACAAAACGGTTGATTTTTCAGCAATACCTTCAAAAACCTTTAATTATTTACATTAGAATTGACAGTGAATAATGTGTGTGGTTAAACAGGGTCAGTGTCCGGTGCTTCAGGAGGGAAAACGGCACCGCACAATGACAAGGGACCAGGGACAACATTGTACTTTCCATCGTTGAATGGTTCAACTTCAACACTCATTGATGGTGGATACTACTGCAAGTTTTTGCTACTTGTTATGCTTCCACTCTTCAACCTCAACATGCTTTACTTTTAATGCTCAATATTTCTCAATTACTAGTTTTCATTACCATCATCATGTATATTCATGGAATATATAGTTGAAGCTCAAGTTTTTGTTTCACCTCACATTGATTTTATTTCAACTGAGAATGACCAATACATTACAGACTTTACCCCCTTTGAGTATGGTAATGGGCCATTGTTTATAACCAAATTGCATAGTAAAAGTTGCGTGCACCATTTGTTCCTTGCAATAATTCCATAGATAGATTCCAGAAAACTTGCAGTTGCCAAACAAATAACCAAGTCAGGAGTTTAACATCATCTAATTAATCAATTCTTCCAGATTCAATGTCAGTACCAGATCATGTAAAAAATATAAAATAATTCTAACTTTCCTTATTCTCTAATCACCGTCATAATAAAGTTTGCGGCAGCCTTTTTTCCCACATCATTCTAATTGCAAAACTTAAATGATGTTAAAAATCGGCATAAACTAATTGTCCAAAAAAGATAGTATAAATGTGAATATCAGAGTTCAAGTACTTGGTGCTGGACTACTTCCAGCCATCAGACCATTCAGCCTCATCGGTGACAGGCTTAGGGAGCTCTGGGAAGGAATATTGACCAGATTCTACATTGTTAGAGGGTGTGTTCCAGCCATTATAGCATTCACCATGACCAGATTCTACATTGTTAGAATTCCACCCATCAGACCATTCATCAGGTTTAGGGAGCTCTGACTGGAAGGAATCTTGACCAAATTCTTCGTTGAAGCCAAAGCCAGAGTTCTCTCCAACGTCCTCATCAAAATGTTCTATCCTTTCTGGAAGAGCACAACCCAGATAGGATGAATTGTCCACACAGTGCCACAGCATTTGGCTCCAATGATTGTCCTGCCAAAAATGACAAGTGAAGATTGATTTCATAAACAACATGGTTATCACAACAAAGGTCTAGTCTAGCAAACAATCATGATTGGAACCTGTCTTTGTTTAGTATCATACTTATTTACATCTTTTCTAACTTTAATTATAAAGCTAAACAGACAAACTAACTAGTTAATATAGAAAGTGGTAATAGCACATTGGTATGTGTATGAAATGGAAATTAAACAAGTATTGCTTTAGAGGCAGCTCTGACTTACGGACAATGCAATCAATGAAAGGATATATAAAAATTATTTATTCACGCTAAAAAGTTGATAAAATTGAGTCATGGTTTGTTAAACAAAAGGCAGTACCTTGCATATAATATGGGGGTTTCCAATTATAACCAGCAATGAAATAGCACGAGTTATAGCCACATTAAACCTTCTATGATTGCTCAAAAAGCCAAGACAGTGGACTCTGTCAAACTCATTGTGTTTTATGGTTGATCGAACAGTTGATACAATGATAACATCTTTTTCTTGTCCTTGAAACTGCTCAACACTGCCAACTTTGACTTCAGGCATTTCTAGACTTTCAAGCGTTTGTTTTATTTTCAATACTTGTTGCTTATATGGGGTTATAATGCCTATGTCTTCTTCAGTTATTTTACCACCAGCAATCAGCCTCTTAACAGTTTCTACAACCTTGCTTACTTCGATTCGGTTGAACCATGAAGGGTTATTCCCTTCTCTTTCATCGCAGCCTTGGATACCAAAGAAAAGAACAGGGAAATCCTTATTAGGGAGAAAATCCGCAGTCATCGTGAAAGTTGTGGAATCTCTACATGCCATCAATTCCCCAAAATAGAACAGCTTTGAAGGGAGGTATAGAATCTCTGGGTGACATCGGTAGTTTTTCACCAGTTTTGTAATATAATTGGCATCTCCATTGCCATATAACTCACATTTAAACAATCGTTCCATGTAAGAAACCCCCAATTGATACTCATCTGCTTTCTTGGAAAATATTACCGGGCCTAACTGCAATGGGTCTCCAGCCAGAACAACAACAGTGTCTCTTCTGCAGAGATGGGCTATAGGGATCATGGTTTCAGGTTCTGAAGCTTGGCCAGCCTCATCCAAGAAAATGTGAGAGAAGTGACCGCGGGAAACATCTTCTGCAAAAAGAAGAGATGCACTCATATATGTGGATACCACAATCCTATAATGTTTGAGGGCACTGACTGGGGGACACTTAAATATCATCTCGTCAAAGAAGGAGAAACGAAGAAATTCAGATTTTACATCGTCATATGGCCTGGTAGTGGCATTGAGCCTAAATACTTCACTATCTCGAAATTCAATATCCTTTTCAGCAAGGAGTTTCTCCAGTATGTGGTCTGCTGCACTGTTTGAGGGGGCACAGACAAGAATACGAGTATTCTTATAATGTTGGTAGAGCTGGAGGATTGCTTCAACTATTGTCCTAGTCTTTCCTGTACCTGGAGGCCCGTGAATCACATAAGGCGGTGCACCTCTGCAACCCAGAATCATTTTGATAGAACGCATTTGCTCCTCATTTAAAGAACCAGAAATGGGAACCAGATTAGTGGTTTTAATGCACCTTCTTCTGGAAGTAGATGGAAAAAGAGACTCAGTTCCCAAGTTTTCTGCTGCCTCAACTGCTTGATATAACCTTCTCATATTGATCCTATTATACGTGAAGTGGACATTATAAAGATCTTCATCTCTATGGTAATAGTGAAATTCAGGATCAAATTTCAAATAGACCTCGTCAGCTTCAACCCGGTGAATAAATCCCTGTAGGAATTAGAATATCATTTTAGTTTTTGCATAAAGGGAATGATCCTGACTGTAAATACATTTTTATACTGATTGAGAGTAAATTTGATTGCATAAATTTGTGAAAAATAAAAGACGCCAAAAACCAATTAATAGCAGCATGCACTTCATACAGACACTGGTGGATTTATCTACTCTAAAGATTACACATACATACATACATGCAATTAGTGTTTTCTTAAAAAAATACTCTAAATTTCTGGGTTGGGCTTAACTCAACAACACAAAACCGACTTGTAAGGTGCGAGCTGCCTCCTGGATATAAACTCATTACCAGACCTTATCTCATCCAAGGTGAGACTCTTGACAATACTAATAATAAAAATAGTGTTTCCTAGATTCTACAATTGTGCATTTACCATTTATATGCATATCAAGAACACCTAACAGTGACATTGTGAGGTATATCCAAATGAATTGAGACAGTTTAGAAGACTGAAAAATGTTAGTGCCAAAGCAAATTAAGTCGAACTCAGAGCCGAGAGCTGCATTATATGAACATGGAGGAGTTAAAAACAAATGATCTTTGGTTAGCCTAGTGCAAGGTCAACCGGCATATTTCAAGTGGATAATTGCTGGAGTGGTGATATATCCTTTGTAAAAGAGATTCCTAGGAGGTTCTCAAAGAGAAGAAAAGAGACAGACATGTCAAATTTATTATATGAAGCAACCACTTTTTTTTCCAATTCTGTATTAGTCATTAGCTTTAATTTTATTCAAGGTTTGGAACCTACATCCTCAAAAATGGAAAGTACACATCAGAGCTCGGTCAAATCATAGCTGCCTCAGGACCATCAATGCAGAGGTAGAATCCATAAGCTATAAATAAATAACCACAGGGAATGCGATCAAATCAATGCATATCTAATGTAATTTTCTTAAATACATTAACACCAATAAAAGGGCATTGTATGGCCAATGATCAAGATACATACATGATAAGAACATCTACTGTTCTTAATACCAACAGAATACAGATCAGACTCCATTTATAACACTTCAAAAAATATAGAAACGTGTACATGGTTACAAAATGCAACTGATGACTAGGTTTGAGGACCGAGTTCATGTTAAACAAAGCTGAAGAATTGATTTATACAAACAAATGAGAAATGCCAAGTAATAATGTGGTGGTATGCCGACAAAATAAGAACCAAACCTGATAAACAGGTGCAGTGTTTTGGTCTTGTTCAGAAGCCAGCTTGGCAAAGATATAATCCCCGTGCACCAGTGATGGCCTTCTCTCAGCAAGCCCAGGTACCTCCAAGGACAAATAATTATTGCCTCTCGTTCTCATAGTTATACATTCCATGTCATAAGTTCTCATATCATCCTGAAAGCAGAAGCCAATAGCGAACAATTACAGAAACATATGTCAGACTTGTTATTTTATTTTAGTTTCTTTCATTTAAAAATAAAAATAAAAAGATTACCTCTAATTGTATCTCTTCCATTATGATTAGTGTTTTGAAATAAGCCGCATAATTCCTTCTTGTAAGACCATCTTCAACAACTTGAGGGACCTGATTGTCCTCAAGCATGAGTCTAATATCCTTGGGGATGTCATATCTTGGAAGCCTATTAACGTACTTTCGATTTGCCTTCCCTGCAGGGCGTGAGCCGGGTACAAAAGAGTCAACAACAAATTTTTCTTTCTTCCTTCCTCTTGAATAAGGTCTGTTAGAAGCCAGAGATTTTGAGATCTTGTCTTCAACTAAGAGGAAAACCACCCTTTCCATTTTCTCATCTCCAATGTCAAAATACACTACAGATGAGTACATGCCCATGTCTTTTGTCTTGCAAGAGAGCCATATATTTAAGGTCTCACGAGGCTGAAGCATCCTGTCCTCCACTCTGAAAGATTCTAGAAAGCTCTCTGAATCTGAATTTTCCCGTGAAGGCTCCATGAGAGAAAGAGTAAAAGAGTCTGGAGGATTTGACGCCAAAATATTAACACTCCACAGGTCGATTGGTTCATCAGTAGTATTATTAACAGTTATTAAATCGACAGCAGTATCTCCAAGAAATACCGATTGAGGCTTCCCATTCACAAATGCAAACGGGACAGATACGACTACCGGAGCCCCGTCATCAGGAACGTAACTGCAAACAGATCTCTCTTCCTCAAAATCTAAAAATGCAATTTCAGCCTTATCCCCTATAACGGAGCATTCCTCATCTGACCTGTATCCAACAGTACTCATCTCGAAAATGTTGCGTACTTCCAAGTTTCAGTTCTGCAAAAAATATCAACCAGAGATGAATAAACATGCATTGGATAAAATTTTCAGCAAAGGCAAAAAAATATATGAGAAAGATCTTGTTCCCCTCTAGAGTAAATTAAAATCATGAAATGAATACAAATCCTCTTCTTTTACCAACTAACTAACAAAAGCACGAGAGGATCTTATTCAAAGAGAGACGCTGCATATGTTCAGTTGTATATCCCAAATAGGACGCAAAGCGGCCAATTTCGAAACTGAGAAGTAACAAAGAAGGAAAAAGCTGTCACTGATGAAGAAACCCGGAGAGCAAAACAAACTCTTCATTAATGATCCTTAGGCCCATCATTGGACTTTTTTAAAAGCCCAGTATGTTAAATCCTAAAAAAGTCCATTGTGCCAAACCCTAAAACTGATGCCCTCTATGTACAATATCTCATCTCCTATTGCCACAACCTACTTGCCATCTTGCGTGCAAAACGTCACGACACCGGCCACCACAGCCGCAACATGAAAACATACTGCACAACATTTAGCATTGCACCAGAGCAAACCTCAATTACACTCCATAATGATGCGCTGTAACGACACTAATAACAACATACATGATACATGAAGACATACACAAACCCAGAGTGTGTAAAAATGGTAGAAATAACTTAAATATACACTAAAATCCATGCATTTGTATAACAAACAAAATCATAGATTTTTCTTTTGATAGATGAACCTAAATAATAGAATCATCTACACAAGAATACAGTAGTATAATCTTGTTAAAACATAATGTCATAATTTGCAATGCTACATTTAGTTCTTCGATATTTCATTCGAAGTTATTCATTTAAAATCACTCTAATCAATACATACCCTAATAATAGGAAATAAAATCATGCATATTGAAGAAAAAATTGAAGCAAGAATAGTAAGCATTGATTGCGATAAACATGTGAAAGTGAAAAGAATTATAAAAAAAAAAAAAGCATATGAAAAAAGAGAGGGTTTTGGAGTTTTGCTTACAGTTGCTTGCAGTGTATGAAAACCCCCCAGTGACGAAATGAAGCGACAACTCTGTTCTCTCACTTTGTTCGAATCGTCATCATAATTATAAATAAATAAATAAACTACTTTTTTTCCTACTTCTTTTTACTCCGAAACACCAAAAAAAACTCAAGATCAAAAGATTTCTTTACCTAAATTTTGGGGTTTATTACTCTTTCAACCCTTAGAACCTCTCCACCCCCTACAAAAGTCACAAATATTCTTAGCATACGAAGACGGACACACCCTGTTTATATATTTTTCCGCAGACACTCTATTTTACAGGTTTCCTTAACTAGAAAATACATTTTTGTATCAAGTGTCGATCTTTAATTTTTTAGAGATACATCTTTAAAATATTTGTAATGAGTTCAAATTAAAAATAATCTAAAATAATGATAAAATAATGAAGAAATAATATAAATTAACATTAAAATAAATATTACATAAATAATTATTAACATTAATATAAATTTAATATTACATTTAATTATAATTGGTGTGGTGCAGGACGTTGCAACATCTTTAAAATATCTTCGCTCGAATTTTCAATCGTTGCATCCACTTCAATTGGATCCTTTGTTGAGAAACGGTAAAATATACTTCATATAACCTTTAAATCTTTGTTCGTCTTCAGTTCAAGCATGGTGAAACGTATTTTCCCTTCGTTGTCAATTGGGGTGAATGATATTCAAGTTTGACAACTCTCTGATTTTCTGGATATCACGGGAGAGTATTCAGTTTGAATATCAGATCGATGTGAAATATATCTTTGAAGACCCTAAATTGAAGTGGAGGATTTGCGCAATTAAAATACACAAATATAAGATGGAGATATGTATTCATTTTGGATTTTGTAAAGAACATAGAATGAGAAAACTCTATTTATACAAGTTGTAGATCAATGTGGATCTTAGAAACTTTATCCTTTCAACAAAACATATTTCAGATATGCATATCCGGACACGCCCTATTGTTTTTACAAAATAAGGATGTGTTCAGAGATATACGTTTATAAAAGTCCCTGTTTTGTTTTTTTATAATTTAAATTGGGTGTGTCTGAAGATGCATATCTGGATCCATCCATAATAGAATCAATATTGATATAAAACTAGTAAAACACACTGAAATAGAAAAATTGGGACATTGTCCAAAATTTACCCTCAAATTCTATAACATTAATGTAGAATAGACATTATGTATGTCGTAAATTGTGTCAAGATTACATCATTGACATCATTACATACAAAAAACGAGTTCATTGTTAGATTACAACTAAAATGTATCAAAACATGTGTCACTGCTTAAATCTATTGGTGGTTCCTTCTTTGACATTTCTTTATTTGATTCTATTTCGATGTCACTCAACTTGTTGAACTCTTCCATCCTTTCCAGAAAGTGCTCCGGTAAAGTTTCAACATCTTGGGTGAAATGTGTTGTCCACTCTAGTGATGTCTTTGATCAGGTTTACCCCTAACCCTTTTTTTTGTAAGATAATCCCCTAAAAACTTCTCATATCTTACTCTGAAAATGCATTTCCCCGGGTTCAATTTCATCTTGCATTTTACTGCTTCCCCAAATATGGATTCTAGATGGGTTTTTTTTACTTTTCTTGCTCTTTAGATTTGATGATCATATCAGCCATGCAAACCTCTAACATATGTTCTATTTAATTTTTGAATATTATACTCATCATCCGCTGGTATGTTATCTCAACATTTTGGGGGTCAGAGGGCATAACCTTGTAGCAAAAGCTCCTTTCATCAGTCATTAAGGTTGTCTTGCTTCGATCAATAAAGTCCATTGGTATCTGAGTATATCTTGAGTATGCATCCATAAAGGATTAGAGTTTAAATCATGATGATTTTGCTATGATTTTCTCAATGTTGGGAAGTGAGTACAAGTCTTTCAAACATACCATATTTAGATCAGAATAGTCAATGCATAAGTGCCACTTCATATTGGCTTTCCTTACTAATAATATGTTGGAGAACCAGGTTATGTGTCTTACTTCTGTTATGAATCCAAATTTAAGAAATTTGTCTACGACCTTCTTCATGGCTTCCCTTCTTGTGATTATTTTTGTCTATAATATGCCACATAAAGGACACTTCTCTATGGGCCAAGGCATGGAATTCTACCTCTAGGCTGTGACTGAGAATCTCCTTTGCTAACCATGAAAATAATTCAGGGTTCTTTTACAAATATTCATGTAATGCCTCGCACATAGGTACGAGTAGATCGACCTATATTTTGATGGTTTTCAATGGACCCTCCCCCTTTTACATAAATGATGATAAAATATATGTTTGGTTCAGGTATTTTTGCCTTCTTTCAGGCTTTTGGTAATGTAACCTTGTCATCTTTCTATGTTGCATGTGGAAATGTTTCTTTTATGCAAGAATCTAGTTATAGTGTTATTTCTTCCTTTTCACTCAGGTCTGTTCTTTGATGTTTATTTACTTTATAGGGAGAGCTAGGAAATAAGCTCGTGTTGGCGCCAAGTCGGCTTACAACACCGCAGGTTAATATTCCAAAATGCGGAATTTGATTTTTAAGTGTATAGTTGTGGAAATCGCCCCTAAGTTTTCCAATTAAGGCTGCTCGGGGATATAATTGTAGATGGAGTCACATCCTATTGTCTAGAGTTTTATCCAGATTCTTCTAATCTTGTTATTGGTCCCAAATGTCATCGTAAGTTCCGTGTATCCCAGGGATGTTGTGATTTTCTCGTTGAAGCCCAACAAATTTCCACCATAATATGGTTAAAGGATGAAACATATGTTTAGTGTATGATATGCCTCAGTATACATAATATTGCACGAGCTTTACTGGTCCACCATTATGTGTCGAACGTCACAAATAACCATCGTCGCCTAAATAATGATGGGTATTTGATGATTTAAGACATTGTTGACTAACTCTTTGTCTTAGAAAGAAAGTGGGGGTGTTTCACTAGTGTGAGAGTTTTATATAGGTGAACTTCCTTGTGAAATGAGGAAACATCTCTTGCCAGGGTTTGTGCGGAAATCATCGATAACAAGACTTAAAAGATGGTTATTTTTTTATTTCAATGGTAAACCTTCAGAGTCAAAGGGATATCATATAGTGTTTCTGACTGGTCAAAAGGTACATATGTGTGTTTGTTACCCCTGCAAGAGCAGGGAGACTCATAGGCCTTAGTAGGTGTATAACATGTTTTGATGTTGACGACTTGCTCAAGATGGCGAGAAGCCACGTATGGTAGTTTTTGAGTCTGTTTAGGGGACCAACTCGTGTGAGGTGAGAGGCACTGTTGGTGTTCGGCGCTGCTTGATTGCAAGCGAGCGGTTTAGGTAATCATATGTTATGGTTATAGGGAGTGTGGTACTCTTTTAGGTAGTAGAAGACATGTATGACTTAGAGTCTGTCCCTTTTCCCTTCGAGGGATGATATATTTATAGGGGTCTCTATGAACTAGGATTTTTCCCTCTTTTTGTGGTCTTAATCGCTCCCTTATTAATATGGGAGGTTATTTGACCACCTATATTTGGGGAGATTAGCGAAGACTACCACTTCCTTGGTACGCACGTCGTGGATGATTTTGAGTGAGTCCCTTGGATATTTCATAGGAAGAATAATTATCCGGGGCAAGGGTGTCATAGTCTTAGATTTTATAAATATAACACTACATAGTCCCTCAAACACAAGGGCTTTTATTTAAAAGCGAAGTGTTTAAAAACCACAATCCTATCTTTAAAGTGCACCTCTCGCTCTATTGGTGGCTCCCTCTGGTAGGAATGGTCGTATCCTGCAAAGGCTTTCTTCCCTTAGAGGTTAGTCCTTGAACTGTAGGGTGAATCCTTTGGTCGAAGGCAGTGGGGTTAGTGGGCGAGTCCCTCAGCTAAAGGCGCTAGAACTAGTAGGCGAGTCCCTCAACAAAAGAGCGCTTATGTGGTATA